CCCCACGATGCACCCAAGAAGTGGTATTTCGCTAGCCGCGAATATACACTTCTTGAGGTTGGCGTACAACTTATGCTTGCGCATAAGTTGGAGAACCTGACGAACGTGAGTTCTGTGAACTTCAACCTCCGTCTTCCCGTCCATAGCCCGGCTATGGACGAACACATCGTCGAAGTAACTCGGTGCGAAGTCCCGCACCGGTCTCAACAGATTTGTTACACATCTGTTGAATGTTGCAGGGGCATTACTCAGCCCCTGTGGCATCACTAGCCACTCCCACAGCATCCCGCTGGGGGTATTCACTGCTGTGAACGGGACGTCCCGTTCACGCATCAGGATCTGATAGAATCCATCCATCAGATCCATGGACGAAAAGATGGTACTCTTTGACATACCATCTATGATTACGTCCTTCCTCGGTATCGGCGTCTGAGCCGGTACCGTTGCAGCATTCAACTTGTTGAATGCGTGCACTATCCGCCACCCTCCTGTGGCCTTTCGCACACAGAAGGTCGGAGAGCTGTGAGGGGATGTTGATTCCCTCACATGGCCCGCTGCTAAGCGATCGGCAAAGAACTTGTCGATCGCTATCACTTGTTCATGAGGCAGTGGCCACTGCTTCATGACACAGTATTTCGAGCCCGGTTTGAGCTCGATCTCGTGTCGAGTGCCTTTGTCCTTAGGCAACTCGCAAGGTACGGATTCAGGGAACACATCCCTGAATTCGATCAAATCCTTATACAAAGGATTTGCCTGAAGTGACTCCCAGGATTGGGACGCGTATCGCTCAATCCGAGTCTTCTCATCGAGGACACTTTCGTCCATCGATGAGCTGCTGAGAACCCGTTCGTTCTCAGCAAATACTGTTGCCGACCGAATGTCGGTCACATACTCGTCCTCTGTGACGAGTACGCAGATCTGCTTGACTTTGCCACTACGCAGATCACGCAAGAACCGTTTCGGTTCTAGCGTTGGCAACTGAGTTATCTCCGAAGTCAACTTCGGAGGCACAATCAGATCAAGCGTATAAGCGCCTACGCTTGATCCGTCATTAACCAAGACGTTCAACGTCTCGGTTTCTTCCTGGGATCTTGCTTCCACAGGTTGCTGAGGGCCTGATCCCTCAGCAAGCAACTCTTGAGGAACTCCTTCCTCAAGTACGTGGGGACTTATTCCCTCGACGTCTTCCGACTGTGGCTGTGCAACCACAGTCAGGAACCGATCCTCTACGGTCGACTCTCCAGTCGACCTAGGATTTTCATGTTGCCCCTTGGGGGCAACAGATTTCTTTCTTCTAAGATGCTGCCCGCTAGGCATGCATCCATGTCCCGGTCCACTCGACTTATTCGAGTGGTGGACCTTCGGCGCAGCCTGTACTTCTGTACAGCCGCCGGGAGCTTGCTCCACAGTGTAGTGATCAACTACACTGTGACCTTGTGCAGTCGTGCTAACGACCGTACCGCAAGTGAGGCCATCGCACTCACTCGCAGAACATCCACACGCTTGTGGACGCTCCAAGATGTTCATCAGATGGCCATCTGATGAACAAGCAGCAGGCATCTTCACGGATCGATGCTGCCAGCTCACCCTTGGCTCGTATTTTCTGAGCCAAGGTAATCCCAGGATGACATCAAATTTGTCATCCAGATCTAGTACGATGAAATCATCATCGTACTGCTCGCCCTCTAACGTGTAGTGGATTCCTACTACACGTTTCTCAACGGTTATCGATGCGCCTGTTGCAAGGCGCACCGTCATCCTTGTGAGGGGGAATGTCGCGCTCAACGAACTTGAGCCTACGACCCTCTAGTGACTGGCGACGAACAAAGTTGTTCGACGCCCCACAGTCTACTAGGGCACGAAGCGACAAGTCATTTGTCGCTTCCAACTTCAAGGTGATGAGCGAAACGTCATCACCAGGTGCAGAGACACACAATGATTGTGTATCTGGAGCAACTTTCGTCAAGAGGTTTGCAAATTCTCTTGAGGTTGCTGGATCAGTAGGGCGCTCCGCCCCTACTGACCCCGACCATTTTTTGATGGCCCGTCTCGCTGTTGCGGTTTCGCAACAGCGCTGGACCCACGCCCATTGCCCTTTCTGGCGAATGGTCGTCCATTTCGCTCAGTACTGTTTGGTACTGGGCGCGGAGCACTACACTCGTATGCGTAGTGCCCTAACTTCTGACAGCGATTGCACCTCTGCAATCGCTTGTTGTTTGTAGAGCGAGGTCTCTCGCTCTCAACATAACAGAGGTCCATTGGTTCTGGACCTCCGATCTCTTGTCGTCTCGGTGGACGGTAAGAGTTTGAGCTAGCATGAGCCTGTCTCATGCTAAAGTCTTCCTGTTCCGCGGCTGATATCGCTTCTTCAAGCGTATTCAGCTCAAGGCGGAACAGGTGGCTCCTGACGGGCCCTTCTGCGAGCCCTTGCATGAACACCGTAATCAACGTGTGTTCATGAACTGGGTTTGCAGTTATACTACTCGCAAGGAGTCGTATATGTTGTGCGTAAGCGTGCACATCACGCTTACCCTGCTTGAGTTTCAGGAGCTCTGAACGAGCCCTGAACTCAGCACGTGGCGGCTCAAACGTTTGTCTGAGCCGGGACTTGAAGTCATCTAGCGACCTAAACACATTTGGGTCGCTACTCTCGAGTCCCAGGGACCAAGTTTTGGCACGCCCTGCCAAGTGGGTCTGAGCAAATGTGAGTTTCATTTGCTCATCTTCGACGCGACGAGCCCTTAGGGCTCTGTCGAGTTCGACAAACCATAGTAACAGGGAGTCCTCCGGGACTCCACTGTACTTGGAAATGTCGACTTTCATCACTTCGGGACGACGCGCATGCGCCGTCCCGCCCACAGCAGCATGGAATTGCTGCTGTCTCAACAGCTCCGTCTGTTGAGCACCGAGTTCTCTCAACTGCTCGGCCTGTTGAGAGCCTTGCTGGTGAAGCAAGGCTACTTTCTCCCTCTCGAGAGCAAGTTCATTGTGAATGAACTTGGCGATAGCAGCATGTTGTTGGTCTCTGTCTAGAGACTCCAACATGGTGCTGACGACGAGTTCGCCTACGGTAGAACTCATTCGTTCTACCGCACCCCATTCGATGTCACTCAAATGGGTAAACCCTTCACGCGTGGCGTGAAAGGTGTCTTCTTCATCCAACATGTTCATGTTGGATGATGTGGTCCTTGGAAGGACTACAAAGTGCTACCAGGTGTAACGGGACACACCCTTGCGTAAATTACGCAAGGGATTTGGGTGCCCCGACGGACGTACACGTGGCGAGCGAGGAAGCGTAGGTAGGGTAAAAGTAGAACCGTTATATTAATAAATTAAGTCTTTAAACTACTGTCTCTTCGTTTGACTTAATTCAATTATACTAATATAACTGCATGTATGGTGACGTCTCGTCACCACTCATTGCGCGCGTCTTGCGGCGATTGGTGGGTTTATATCATCACGATATCAACCAATGAACAGACCCTTTGGTCGACCCTTCAATATCACCACTTTGGTGATATTGTTTAAAGAATATCCATCTTATATTCTTTATTGTCACTTTCCTTAAGTGACAATATCATGTAACGGGCTGCCCCGTTACAAAAACCCTCACGATACAGCGATAGCAATAACATTTCAAACGATATGTTGAAACGCGTAGTCAATAAATGAGCCTGATAGTGCGTTTAGTGTCCCCGACGTCGTGATAAAAGTGCGATGCTGTTTTACTGAATTTGTGATCCCGGCATCGTCTACGAAATCAAGGATATGAGTGGCATAAACAAGAGAATGAGCCATCGTAGACTGTATGTGGCGGGAAACCGAACGCTTATACTGGCACGTTTCAATCTACGTACACTGACCACAGTGAAGTACGTACCTCGAAACCTCATGTATACGTATGCGCAGAGGAAAGATGATCCACCTAGCAAAGGTGATTCGTACTAGGGTAAAAGTCGAGCTGTATTTGGTACGTACCTAAAGTCTTCCTAGTACGGTTTCCATGGGGCTACTTGCCTAACACCCCTTTCGCGCGTCAGTAGCGATAGGTGGTTCAGTTGGTTGAGATAGTAATGCGCTATAGCAAGACCTGTATCAACCAATGAGTGGAGAATGTACCGAATATTACCTTCGACGGTAATGTTGTTTCAGTATTTAATCAGCAAAATAAACATTGTAGCTTGTCGTCACTGAAGACAATACTTTCATTGACTTTGGTGTCAATACCATGTACAGCAATATGTTCACGCCGTTACTCTGTGCCGCATAATAGCCGCCGTGCATCAGTTCGTCGAGAGTTCATCATATTGAGGCTGCGAGGTTAAGGCTTGGGTTTGTTATGTTAGTAGCCAACATACCAGTTTGATCTAAAAGTTCGAATAGTGCAAGTTGAGAGGAGGCGAGGCAGACGCACCTCGAACAATGAAGTCGTGTGACGAAAGTACGGGTCTGGTCATCAAGTACGCAGATGAAGAGACGTCCATGGGCTAGTGCAATATGTAGAGGCCATAAAGGACCTGCACTGTCGACTCATTCTCACTTTCGTCATAAGCGTTGTAGGCGTGTTTGAAGCTTTGTCGATTCTGTTGAGTACTCAACACGTATGATAGTCGACCTCATCCTGATTGTGGCACATGAACTTAGTGATGAGCTGTGGTAGCGCCTTGGACTGAAACCCGTGTCACAACAAGTCTGCTTTCCGCTTCGCATTTTGGCGCTCCGCCAAATCACGCGCTTGGGATGGCACGGCTGTTTTTAGGAATCGCTGCCAAAATAGCGTGTCCTGGTAAAGCATATCAATGATCGAGCCCAACTCTCGTGCTTTATTTACCAAAATCAAAGCATGCGTGTTTTGTAAGCAGGTGGTAATTTATTTAATCGAAAACTACCACCACTGCGACGAGCCTAGCTAAACCTAGAAAAAGCCAAGCTACAAACCCAGGCGCCCTCATCAACGGCAATTACCACTGGTGACCAGCACCTCCACTGCCTTTCACGCCATGGACAGCTTCTCGCTCAACATAGCGGCTTCCAGTGGTCGTCTCCAACCTGCCAAGAAGAAGAAGAAGAACACGTTCCGTGTCAAACAACAGGCAAAGCGCGCAAAAGCGAAGGCCGTCAAGTCCAGCAAGGCGCTTCCAAGCCACTTCAGTGGGCAACCCCGCGACCATCAACCTCACCAAGTGCCGTACGCTGTGCATCGTTCGACTGATCAGGCAGTGACGCACGTGTCACATTTGGAGTCTGAAGTATCGACCGTCAAAGGTGTCACTGCCGCTGTCGCTGCTTCTTGTCAAGACGGCTTGGACGAAGGTGTCAACGAAGAGCAGGTCAAACAAGACGTGGAGGAGAAGACCCAGGAGACAGATAGAGCAAACGATCACGTTGAGAGGGAAGCTCACATTGCTGCAGCTTCGGACGTAGGGGTAGTGAAGCCGAAGGCGTTTGGGACGCGTCGCAAACCCATCAAGGAAGACTACAATGTAGAGACGTTTACGCAACCTCGTGTCAAGTTTGACACGGTCTTGTCCAAGCCGTTGACATCGTCGTCAAGTGAAAAGATTTTTGCTGCTGATACGTTTGAGTCCATGAAAATGACAGAAAAGTTGGTGAATGTGCTGAAGAAGGACGTGGAAAGCAGCGGCTTTGGATTCGCACGACCTACGAACGTGCAGGTGCAAACAATTCCGTCTGTGTTGCGAGGGAATGATATTCTGATAAAGAGCGAAACGGGATCGGGTAAAACGCTGTCGTACTTGCTGCCTATCGTTCAGAGACTGCAGGAAGTGACTCCACGCATCCAGCGTCAGGATGGGTGCCTAGCGCTGGTACTGGCCCCGACCCGCGAGCTGTGTACACAAATATTAGAGACTGCCTCTAAACTTATCCAGCCGTTTGTGTACTTAGTACCAGGTGCTATCATTGGTGGTGAGAAGAAGAAGGCTGAGAAGGCACGACTGCGCAAGGGAATTACTATCTTGACCGCCACTCCCGGCCGTCTGGCCGATCATTTGGTAAACACCCACTCATTCAACTACTCTCGCCTGCAGTTCTTAGTGCTGGATGAGGCAGATCGCCTGCTGGATATGGGGTTCGAGAAGCAAATCACACAAATCTTGACTATTCTCGATGGCAAGAAGACGGCTCACAAGAGGCAAAATATTCTGGTATCCGCCACCATTAACAGCGGGGTGCAGCATCTTGCTAAGTTGAGTTTATCCAGCCCTGCGCTGATCGATGTTGACGCGACTACTTGCGGTGAAGATGCAGCATCAGAGATTAAAGGGTCTGGACAGGGGAAGTTTTCTACTCCACACCAGTTGATGCAGCACTTCATGCTCGTCCCAGCAAAGGCACGTTTGTGTGCGCTGACATGCTTTTTGCGTGAGGAATTGCGAAACGCTCCTTGCACGGACAAGAATGGCAGGCCTGGTAGGTGCAAAGTCGTCGTGTTCTTGTCTACGTGTGATGCTGTGGACTTTCACTACACGCTGTTCCGCAAGTGTGCGTGGCCATCAGGAAAGGGGTCAACTGATGGGGTCGACAACGGAGGCGAACATAATGGCACGGCTTCGCTCTTTGGTGATCAAGGGCCCGTGTTCCGCCTGCATGGTAATATCCCGCAGCAAGAGCGGGTCACCACGTTCAAGAGCTTTTGCTCTTCAAGTTCTGGCGTGCTCCTCTGCACCGATGTGGCTGCCCGCGGTCTGAATTTGCCCACAGTGAAGTGGATCGTTCAATACGACCCGCCTACTGAAACCCGCGACTATGTCCATCGCGTGGGTCGAACTGCTCGAAGCGGCAACCAAGGCAGCAGCTTGCTGTTCTTGATGCCTTCCGAATCGGAATACCTTGACTATTTGAACAAGCAAGGCTTGAAGCCGAATGCTCTAAGTCTGGAAACGACTATTGCGCGCGTTAGCAAGCACGGCGGCTTCCTGACTTCATCTCGAAAAAAGTTGCTGCACGAGGTTGTGCAGGGAGACTTGCAGTTCTTGTATGAACAGACCCTTTTGGCAGATAAGGAATTGTTCGAGCTGGCGTGTCAAGCTTTCCACTCGTTTGTGCGCAGCTATGCCACGCACTCGTCGGACACAAGGCAGATCTTCCACGTCCGTAGTCTGCACTTTGGTCACGTTGCTAAGAGTTTCGCGCTGCGGGAGCCACCCGCTTCTTCAAAGCTACGTGCGACTGGGCGAAATGCCAAGAAGGGTACGCTGCAAAAGCGCAAAGAGCGTGATGACAAGCAATTTGCAGCGGTCGTCAAACAGCAGAAGAAGGTGCGCGACGAGAAGCGCCGGTATGCGCATAATGTGTCGGAGTTTGCTGACTAGTGGTTGGTCGTCCGTCCAACCGACCTGCAATAACAAACGACTCGATAACACTGCGTGTTTATTACATGACTTGCTCCGTGCGGGGTAAGCATCGTTATCGTGCATCAATCGCATCAAGTGCGTTTCCTTTTCTTTCGCTTCTGCTGCATGTTGTTGTCCTTCGTGACAAGCTCCTGCGTTGGCGCAGGCTTTGCCTTACTCTTGTGCTTCTTGGCAGTAGAAGCCAGCACCAGCGGCGCGAAAACCTCCGCAACGTCAGTCTCCTCAGTAATCTCGACAAGCTTGCCATCAAGAGCAACCGGCAGCCTCGGAAAAGCACTGAAAGCAATGCAACAAGACGTCAACTCATGAGTGGTTAGTACAAATGGCTCGCAGACGAAAGCAAACAAAAGCTGCAAAACTCGCACGTGGCTTACCGGAGCAGCGTCTGAAGTGCAAAAGCAGCACTGAAACATCGCTGAGCTACCACGACGTCATCAGGCTTGTGGCCATTTGCTCGCAAGAAGTGTCGCGTCACTTGACTCGCTGCCAGGGGGTTTTCCAGCTGCAGCTCCATTAATCGCGCGAACTCGTGCACCACCGCGTCGCGCTCATGCATCCACTGCACTTTTCCCAGCGCAAAGACACGATTGGCCACATCGAACGTGCCAATCACCTGTGGCTCCCAGTACTTGCCATCATCTCCCTCTTCCTCTTGGTCCGTCGTTTCCTCATCCTCGTGGCGCGTTGCACTCGACGTCGTGTCTCGACGGTCACGTGACTGGCTCCGACGCACAAGCGCCACGAGCGTTTGTCGCTGCTCCTCGGTCTTACATAGCGACACAATCAAATCGAGACCGTACGTCACACCTTTAGGAAGCACTTGAGGGCGTACTAGAGGCGCCAACGTCGTCACAATGTCCTGCAGGTGCTGCACAGCTGCCAGTGGGTCACTCGCCATAATGGGTACGAAAAAGACGGTTTGGGTGGGGCTGCTCACGAGTAGAGGCAGAGGAGACGCTGGTGGTAAGAAAAGTGCTTTTTTGAGGCGGAGCGAGAGAGAGACCCAAAATAGCGTCTTCTACATTAAGCAAGTTGGGACTCTTGAGTTGACAGAAAAGCCGTGTAAATTGTCCAACATGATGGCAACGGCGCTACCCGTGCAGGGTGCGCAGACAGTCAATGTTCAGCTCATTCGACAGCGTATGCAAGAGGGATTTCCACCACAAGACGTACAGGAGTATCTATGGCGAGTGCGACTCGAAGCTGAAGATCTTCCGGACATCGTCGTGGCTTCCGACGTCGACGCGAGACAGTATGATGCCCAACAGACCAGCAATATACCTACGCTGCAGTCGTTTGGAGACGAAAAAACGACGCTAGATCGACTTCCTGACGAAGAGTGGACGAGAAATTTGCTAGCAGATTTTGCGGAACTCAGACAATTGATTGCACGCTGGGAGTGTGTCGGACCACCGCCAGCAGAGGCGCATGGAGCAGGAGATGGTGCAAATGAGCGCGCTCGCACGAAAGTACCCAAAATGAGCGACGAAGATGGATGGGCGCTTTTTTTCTTTGGAAAACCAGGATTTGAGACGTCGGCAACACCGCCACATTTGAGACTGTTGCTGCAGTTCGATCAGGTACTGACCAGAAAACTGCTGGATTACCATGCTGCGTGGCTCAGTGAAGAGGCGACGTCACTTTCTCGAGCACGTGCAGTATGGATGTATGCACTGATGGCCCGTTTGGATAAACCAGTTCATGCTGGTGTAGCGGCCACGATTCGGCAGATTCTACGGCGCTGCTGGATCTTGAGATGCGAGCTGGAAATGCCGTCAGGGGTTCAGCTCAAGTCGCTCAACGTTTTGATTGTAATTGCTGGACATTTCTTCGGTCAATTGCACGCCTTGGAGTAGTGTGTCGAATACAAGCTATCTGTACCAGTACGCACGCCTGTTCTGAGCGCCCTTTTGCAACGGCATTTGTTCAGTACATGCTATGTACTAAGAGCCTGGCCGTATCCCACGATACCGTTCCGACGGTCCTCGAGACGATGAATTATGATTGTACGTGTAATTGAAGGGCGCGAGACTACTTCATCGTGCGGAGCGCAACCACACGTTTGACTAGCCTCGAAAAGTGGGCATGGTAAGGATCACGAGCGAAGGACGTGTAGAGGAAGAGTATGGATAAAGTTTAAATCGCGCTGCACAATTGTTTACCCAGTAGAACAAGTGCCGGTACTGAACACTTAACGCTAAAGTGGTAGAAAATGACACGAAAAACAACAACGTAACACGGCGATCGCAGAGCGCCGAGAGTAAGTATCTCTTTGCTGCAAATGACACAGGTCGGTACATGGCAACTTTCGACTTTGTGCCTTTCGTGCCAAGATGAAGACCAAATTGCCGCAGTCTCATATCTGCTTCGTGTGGTCCATGTTACGCGGACTGCGTGAGGAAGCCATCTTTTTCTTCACGAATGTCACACAGCAGCGTGCCCACGATGAGCTGATCAAAGAACGCCGTTCGACGAGCGCTTCCTCGTCCTTCATGCTGTGCATTGACTCTCGAATATGTGTCGCTCGCCCTGCCAACAAGAATTTGGCTATACCATCGAAAACACGTTGCTGTTGCATCATGTTTGTGACGACCGACGACGTGCTGGTAAGGTCATTGCAACAGGAAGCGCCCTCGTTTTAGTGACATTCTCTCTCAGAGTCGATTACCTGAAAAGATCCGACCACTGTTTAAGGTCACAAGTCGTGGGATACGCACCGAAATGGCGACAGGTTTGTGCCGAACGTGGAGCTCTCTGTCTACTACTTGGCGGTGTTCATGTGTCAATCTGCGCGAGTTTTGCACATCCAATTTGGACACCTACCTGGAAGTGGAACAGCTGAAGAACGTTAAGAGGTCAGAGACTAGCAGACTGTTGTGGTGTGGCTCGGCCATGTCAAAACTAATTCTGCGGCATGTGTGGTCGACTAGTGAAGCGTTCTACGAGCGACAAGGCCAGCATCGAAGATACTTCTACTACATTGATTTGCAGGTTTGTAGATGGCAGTGTCGATGCATGTATGACTTCGATTGAGTGTCCGGAACAGCATGATGGCAAGATGTTTGTTGTCGCTGTGTTGAGTAGGGCCGTCTGTTTACGGAAGACACCCGCCCAAAGAACATTGCAACGTGCCTCAAAAGTGCCAAGTTCCTGCGTTTCTTTTTTTCACACGTGCAACCGAACGACATTGCGCGGTGCAAATCGAAAGAAGAAGAAGAGTTCTTGGAGTATCCCTTTCAGTCCCCATGTGGCAAAGAGATGAACTACATCAAGTGCGCTGATCGTCCGTTCGTGTTTGAGGATCTCCGGCGAGACGATTGGGGAAAGTGGACGCTCGCGTTTGGTGGCGGTGAACTGACGATGCCGTTTATGCCTGAAACGCTGCGCATCTCCCTTTCGACGGGAAGACTGTACCACGACGTGCGAACAAAGCACATTGCGCCTGGCACTCCTGGAAGCATTGCACTCGTCAAGTCTCAACTCGCTGTAGAACTTGGTAAATGCATAGATATGCACGACTTCCCCGACAATCTCGACTCTGTTGAGGATGTCCATGCGTTGAAACTAGGCCACTTCGAGTGGGAGAGTCAACGCTATGCTATCCACGCTGTCGCGTGAACACCTTCTTTACTGCTAGAGATTGGCTGTGGCAAGCTGAAAGTACTGGCGTCTAGCCGATGACAGCATTCTAGCGCTGCACCCCGAAACAAAATACAACGCCTTCTCCGATTTTGACGTCGCATGGCCGTCGTCTCGTCGTGTCCACGTAAATCGACTGACTCGCATTCTCGTAGCCCGTACTAATCTCGCAGTCTTCAGCGCCCTCACAGGCACTCTCTCGAGCGACTAGCAGTGGTCTCTCGCCAGGTGCGGCATCGGTGTCGTTGGGCTCGAAGCATCCCCACCATGTCAAATTCTTGGGACGGTCTGAGACCACTGGTCGTTTGCTGTTCCACAGTCTCTGGCTGCTTTGACTCACGAGAATTGGGACAAGAAAGTTGCAAGCCAGACCAAAAATACGTAGAGTGCAGGTAAATTGTCGAGATAGGAAACACACATCCAATGAAGGAGTTTGAGACGATAAAAGCTGCCGTGTCTGCATGCCACGCGGCGTTCGAATTGCTATCGTTTCTGATAGTTGGAGAGAGATACCTACTTTTCCTTTCGTTTGCAACTTGACAACTCACTACAGTAAGCGTTGCTCTGGAACGCGTGTTGTAGCGGAACTTTCTAAGCGGGGCGATAGATTTGCAATGGTGCTCCCCATTGAGTGTTGACGGCAATTTTACTTCCTTTGCCACTTGTCACATGCTGTAAAGACTTTTTTTACCTTCGGTCATCCGACATTCTGAATCGCCGCAAGTGCATGGCCATTGTAAATAGGTGTAAGGTATGACGGTCTTCTTGGAGCTGCATCAGAATCGGCACGTGTCATGTGGGATAAAGCCGGCAGTGGTACTGCCAAGATCTGGGATTACTTCCGGCTTCGAATGAGGCGAAAGACGATGTAGCTTTTCTGTTGCGGGACAAAGTGCTTGCACGACAAGCGAATGAAGAGCTGTGTGACCCTTCTTTCGTCCTTGATTATTTGCGGGTGCAAGATACGATTGGCGCTTGCATACTTGCGCTGCTGTGGGGCGCCACGATTTAACGAAGGCTGTACTATGCCGCAATCTTGAGGTGCAACGAGTAAGTAGGCAAATTCAAGCAAGTATGGGCATTATTGAGTCGACATCCGTTAGTCGTGAATGATCCTTGTGGTAGCAATAGCATTAGCAAGCGCCTAATGGAAGTTACGCACGGCCACGCATAGGCTTTCGTAGTGCGAAACAATTTTCTTCATCAACTACCACTTGCTCAACTACTGACTTTGCTCAGCAATTTCCCTTTTTCTTGTTTGTCCCGCGTCGAAGCCTCATGCCATAATGTCACCGGCTCTTTCTAGATACTCTCGCGTTCGCTTAATCAGTCACGATCGGCGCTGCACTAATATTCTTGTTTACCGGAGCAAGTTCATATTGCGAAGAACATCTTCCACTGCTCGCAAATGGTGCCTGGCTGCTAGAGCTTTGGTCTAAGTTTGCTGCTTCGACCGGCGTACATACAATATTTGATATCTTTTTGATGCCGTGCTCCCATCAATTGTTCAAAAGCTTCGTACAAATCACGAGCTTCTTGACAGCTGATTTTTGTGTAACGCATTATACTGTTGTACGTGTCACACGACGACCCAGCATGCTCCAAATTACTCGTGAATCCCAAGTGCGTAATATAAGCTCTTTACATCAATCCGAGCGATGCTCATTCTTCCTGTTTAATGCCGTGATACTCCTTCTCGCGCGTAAAGGAACAGCTTTTTTGGACGCTTTTCGTCACGCATGCCTTCAGTTGTCGATCGCGTCGGTGCGGCTCCTTATTTGATGCGTGAGATCCGGCATTAAAATGAATGCCCTAAACATGGTGCCGCCTGTAAGAGATACACAGCAAGATCCGCACTTGTCCACTGCACTTCCTTCAGTGTGACTTTTTCTCGGCTCTTCCATAGGCACGAAGTCGTCCTTGGCTGTATGCAAAGCGGTCTATTGTGCCAAAAGTTACAAGGCATCCCTTCAAGGACACATCGTATTTTTGGCGTTGGTTTTTTGAAACGGTGGTACACTTTGGTGGCACAACCACGGCATCAGTCAGTGCATCCTGCGGTGTTCTACTGAGATATATTACTGTCAAACTAAGTACGTTTAATGGGGCTGGGGTCTTTTTGGCCCCAGAAAGATACGTTTCAAGTTTTACTCTAGAAGACACAGTAAAGCCCTGCATTCATTTGCCTAAAATATTTATTCCCGCGTAAAATGAAATAAACATCAGATTATTCACTCAAACGCGAGAAAATTTAAAAAAAACGTGCCTTGCTGAGGCGTCTTCGACCATAACGGTATGAGGCCTTACTGAAGCATGCACATTTAATCCCCTTGTGCCACTGCTTCTCTAAAACTTACATTCCGTAGACGAGGACTGAAAGCTCTGTCAGCTAGTAGACTCGATGAGTCGTTGCTCTAAGATCTAGTTGACTCTTTGAGTCGTAGCTCCTTGAAATAGTTGACTTGTTGCGTCGTATCTCTTTGGACTTGTTGACTCGTTTAGTCATCGTTCGTTATAAGAACCAAACGCATCTTGCGGCATATGGCTTTCTTCTGGAAAGGGGCTTTGGTAGCTTAAACGCACTAGGCAGCAGTCGTATTTAATTTACACCTGATCCTATACAGAGGGACACTCTGCAAGGATGAGTGCAACGGGGTGAGCCCGTTCCATAAAAATTGAAATTTGTATTAATTTTGAATCTTATCTATTTTGATAATGACCAATTGACATTCCTCGTAAAGAGTAAGGTTGAAGGAATATTACCCCCAAGGGTAATATTTCTTCGATGGGTTGCTCCACCTGATGGTTGATGTTCACGGTACATCAACCAGATCAACCACCAATCGCTGCTGGACGCGCGCAATGGGTGGTGGACAAGAAACCCATACAGGAGAATGGAGTTTAATTAGTGGGCTCAAGACAAAGATGGTTTATTAGGAGAGAATAACTATATGAAACACAGTTCTACTTTTTCTCTTAGACAGAGCTTTCGAGCTCTGCCTACTTCGCTGCGCTTCCTCAAGCCGCGTATACGTGAGGTCGGGTGCACACAACCTTGTGTCGAATTGACACAAGGCGTGCCCCGTTACAATGAGACAAGGCACCCCCTCTCTGAAGCCCGATAGGTTGCACTTACTGAACTGACCGATTCATAAGGCCCAGTACATGGACTTTCTTGCAACTCAATACCCGGACGTATTGATTATATGTCTCAACGACTTTCGCAATATGAGTTGCTCCTTTTAGGGTAGGTCCAAGACCAAATGGCGCCGGGTATTCCAACATACTTCGCGTCTGTAGTAGACGAAGAGGCTCACTTTCGTCTGTTGATATTAAGAATTAATCTCTATTTAGAAAAGACGAGTTGGGCCTCGTCCTTTGAACCCGAAAGATAGAGATGTCCCTAAAATCTGTTGTGATACCCCTTAGAGCATCAGCGGGTACCGTTGGCTGTTTCTATCTCGATGGAAGAGCAAAAGAATGGTCCTTAACGTACGGCACGTATGTATACGTTGCATCTCCCACATACAAATCAATAAATTAGCTTCTGCGCGCATTTGAGTCGTATAAGCAGAAATATCGCTTCCGTTCCTGAATCTTGCCTACCCCTCAGGGTAAGAATGAATTTTTGGATTATGTCCAAGTGATGATAACACTCATAGTTGCAATGTAGATTGATCGTCTTTCTGAGGTGGTCCACGCAGCTATTTTATGGATGATCTTAGCACTGGCGTAGACAAAATCACAGTAGCATAAGTTTATTCTTCTCCTTTGAAGAGGCGGTGCATATAACATGAAAAGCTGACTTCAACTTCGAGTCACACAAAAATGGTCATAATTGATACAACTTAAAATCTACTCGAGCTATCTCCCTGAGCACATATCTGTATAAAACCCGGAGACTTAAGACGATATTAATGACATAAGCAAAATGACCTTCCAGCAGCTAAGTAAGAATGCGACATCCTTCAATGTTATTCTGGCTGAAAACTAAAGACATGTTCTCAATCATTACTTGCGAGTTGAGTTTATTTTTTGATTCAAAACTAAGCCTAACTACCGCACATCTATTGACAAAGGTAAAGATATTGGTCTAGTAGAGAAACTCAATACATCAACCCGACGGTGAATTGTGAGAGGTGATGAAATCGAGTGATTGAATAAGAAAAGTCGAGTAATGTATTCAAATGAAACTAAGTAGGTGCATCCAGAAATGTAAAATAATTGATTGCAACGAGTGAGTGAAGCGCAATATTAAGAAAGCGTGAGCGACGACTAGAATGGCGCGTGATGGTAGACAGGAGTAATTGAACACGCATTCCAAATAGAGGATGATCTCAAAACGGGTATCTCGCAACCTATGACTTCCATAATTTTACGGTTTAGTGCTTAGTCGCCACACATTAAATTCGATGACTCTTGTATGACCCCACTAAAGGTGAAGCTTGACAAATGGAACTACTTAATTGTTTTATTCGGGTGCTGTAGTGTGAGTGAAATTACTTGACCTTGGTATGAAAACGTATGTTCTTCCCCAAAAATTCACCTTAGGAATTCATATCGAAAGCATATAAAGGAAGGTGGACTGTGACGGGGCACTGCTGACTACGTACTGGTTGACTAGTACGGAGTATACTTCCACTGACGACATTGGTCGACAGTGCCCTGCTAGGTGTTAAAGAAACACAGAGGACGGAAAGGAGACCAAGTAGTCAGACGAGTCTCTTGGTAAAAGTAAAACTGTATTAATATAATCAAGTCCTATAACTTCTTGAATCTCTGTTGCCCTGACTTAATTGTACTGATGTAACTAAACGTATAATGACGTCTACTCAACACCCATTGCGCGCGTCTAGCATCGATTGGTGGGTTGATATCATCACGATATCAACCAATGAGTAGACCCTTCGGTCATCCCAGCAATACCACAATGTCTGTGATATTGTTAAAAGAATATTCGACGTAATATTCTTCATTGT